GAGATGGCTTTGGGAGAAAATTCAGTGTATATTTTCTCTGTATTGCTCAATACATGATGTACAAATTTATAATACAATGCATAAATGAATAAAGGAAATAAAATATTTTACAAATCAAATACAATCCCACTTGATCTTTGCATATCACCTCAAACGATATCGCATATCTTCCAACACTCCCCCTCAAGCTGGTGGCTTGTAGATGTCCAAGACACTTAGCTTGCTCAGTAGATATGCGTGTTGTTTCTGACAGAGGGGTTTGGTGAAAACATCCGCGGGTTGTTCTGCAGTCCCTATCCCTCTTGTTTCAATTACCCCTTCTTGAATCTTCTCTCGTGTGAAGTGACAATCTACTTCTATGTGTTTCGTTCTCTCATGCACCATAGGATTAGCCGCAAGCTTGATAGCGGCATCATTGTCACAAAATAGTCTGGTTGGGCCCTTAATTTGTACCCCAAGATCTTGCAGTAAGCCTCGCAGCCATACTATCTCGCAAGTAGTTTTCGCCATTGCCCGATATTCTGCTTCTGCTGAAGATAGTGAGACAGTCGGCTGTTTTTTTGTCTTCCATGAGAGCAACGAGTCTCCTAGCTTAATGCAAAAACCTGTGACAGATCTTCTGCTCATTGGACAGGTTGCATAATCTGCATCACAATAAGCCATCATTTCCATGTTGCACTTTCTAGAAAGAAGTATTCCAAGTCCTGGGCATTTCTTTAAATACTTGACAATCTTCAGTGTAGCATTCATGTGAGACTGTTTTGGTTTGTGCATAAATTGGCTGAGCGTCTGTACCGCATAACATATGTCTGGCCTGGTCATAGTCAAGTATATGAGCTTCCCAACAAGTTTCTGGTAGCCTGCTGGATCTTTGAGTATGGGATCATCTTCTTGAGAAGATCCCTCATCATATTCCGTCGTGGTCAACTTGATATTCTGTTCGATCGGAACAACAACTGGCTTGCATCCTGACAGACCTGCTTCTGATATAATTTCCAACACAAATTTCCGTTGACTGAGGGAAATTCCTTGATCGGACGGGCAATTTCAATTCCCAGAAAGTACTTGGGTGATCCCAGGTCTTTTATATGGAATGTGGAATGCAGATACTGCTTGAAACTCTTTATGGCATTTTCATCATTGCCCATAATAAGTATATCATCAACATATATCATTAAATAAATGGATGACATACCTTTTGTCCACGTAAAAAGGGCATAGTCAAAACGGGATTGCTTGAATCCTGCAGCTATGAGTGCATTCGCAAATTTGGCATACCATTGCCGGGAAGCTTGTTTAAGACCATATAGGGATTTACGGAGACGACATACTTTATCCTCCCCCTGTCTCCGAAAGCCCTGAGGAACCTCCATATAAATCTCCTCATCCAAATCACCATGAAGGAAAGCATTATGGACATCCATTTGGTGTAAATTCCAGTTTTGGAATGCCGCAACCGACATGAAAGATCGGACAGTGACATCTTTGGCTACTGGGGAGAATGTTTCGTGGTAATCAAAACCTTCTCGTTGTGTAAAACCCTTAGCCACCAAACGAGCCTTGTACCGTTCAATGGATCCGTCTGATCGATACTTGATTTTGTACACCCATTTGCACCCAATCGGCTTCCGATGAGGGGTAGTGGCACAAGCTCCCATGTGTTATTCTCAATCGAGGCTTGCAACTCAGTTGCCATAGCCTTTTGCCATCGTGGATCAGTGGAGGCTTCATTATAGTTGGAAGGTTCCCGATCTTCAGATATTCGGCTAATGCAGCATCTATGTTCCGACGAGAGTTTATTGAATGAAACATAAGCTGAGATGGGTTATCGAATACCTGGTGAATTGTGAGTAGCACAGACATAGTATTTAGACCACGTGGGTGGACGTGTGATTCTCCCGGAACGTCGTGGAGGGTCTCTTGCAGGTGAGGGTGAAGTTTCCTCCATAATAGGTGATAATGCTTCGGCATATGGAAGATATTCAGTGGTCGCATCGTCTTCCATTGGTTCCAATGATGATAATGGAGAAGCATCGTCAGTGGGAACTATGTCAGGTATTGGAGAACCTCGAATAGTCGGAACATAGGTGGGATCCTTGAAACTTTCTTCTTCAGTGGAAAAAATACGAGGAGCGTTTTTTACCCCTACATCTTCCTTGGAGGAGTCATCTTCAAAAGGAAAGGTGTTTTCGTGAAATACGACATCCCTACTTACGAAAAATTCTCCTGTGGATGTGTCAAAAAGACGATAACCCTTTTGTAGATTCGGGTATCCCATGAATATACATCGCCGAGCACGAGGACCCATCTTGTCCCGAGGGCCTGTAGAAGTGGCGTAACATAAGCATCAAAAAATTCGCAAATGGTCCAGATCTGACCTTTTTTTAAATAGGAGCTCGAATGGTGATTGTCCATTGAGTACCTTCGATGGCATCCGATTAATTAAGTAGGCCGCCGTTATCACGCAATCTCCCCAAAAAGTTTCTGGGATAGAAGCTTGAAACTTTAACGCCCGTGCTACCTCCAAGAGATGGCGGTGTTTTCTCTCAACCACCCCATTTTGTTGTGGGGTATAAATACATGAGCTTTCATGTAAAATTCCATGAGATGAGAAAAAATTGTCGCACTCACGGTTGAAGAATTCCCTTCCATTATCTGTTCGGATGCGTCGAATAGATTTTCCGAATTGTGTCTTTGATAAGGAAATGAATGTCTTCAAGTTATGGAAAACTTGAGCTTTAGACTGCATAAGGAAAACCCATGTAGCTCTGGAATAATCATCCACAATAGTAAGAAAGAACCGAGATCCATCATGGTTCGGTGTGTGATATGGCCCCCACACATCAATGTGAATTAGAGAAAAAATATCGGTAGCACGACTCTTGCTAAGAGAAAAAGGTATACGAGATTGTTTTGCAAGTGGGCAAATATGACACTGAGAATAAGGAAATAAGGCACTATGTCCCATTCTAGAATGCATAAGGAAATTTTTATCATTGGCAGTCGAATTACACAATGATTGTTTATTGAAAGGAATGCATGATAAATCGAAATTTCTGGGAAAGCTGGTCCAAAAATATAATACTTCAGAGAGATTACCCAAGCCCATCAGTCTGCCAGTCGAAAGGGCCTGAAAGAAACAAGTATCAGAATCGAAAAAAATTCGACAGGAATTTTCTTCACAGGCTCTAGACACAGATATGAGGTTGAACTGGAAGTCTGGGACATAAAGGACATTTTTTAGTGTGATTTGAGAACTAAGATTTACTGTCCCTGTCGTAGTGACATGAGTAACATTCCCATTCGGCAATTTCACAGAGATAGGAATACTTAATTTTCTATGAATAATGGAGAATAATCCCTTATCACAGATAATATGATCACTTGCCCCTGAGTCAATTATCCAAGCATTTCTGGAAATAGAATTTATCAGGCAATGAGTAATACCTGAAAAACTACTTCCCTTGTTGGAAGTGTCTAATTTTTGTAATGCCTGCATAATTTGCTGATATTGTCCATATGTGATGGGCTGATCATTATTTGGACCAGTGACTTGATAAGCCGCAGCCGAGGATTCCTTTCCTTTCTTTCCTTTTTCCCCGGGTTTACCATGCAATTTCCAGCAGTTGTCGATTGTGTGATGGGGCCGCTTGCAATATTCACAAAATTTTTTTCCTTTTAAATTTTGCTCGAAAAATTTTTGTGCACCCGAAAAGCCTGGATCGTTGGATGTCTTTGAATGGGTTTGATGCCCACCGTCCGATTCCTTAATGGAATCGGTGCCTTTCCAGCCATCAGATCGCGAGGTGCGATCTCCACCGTCCATCCCATTTCCTTTAATCTGCTGCTGCAGATCGTTCCCCACAAACCCTCGCCGCTCCTTCTCTCGGTCTAGGGTTCTGGAACTCGATTCGCGACGCTCGCCGCGGGTCGCGAGGGCGATGCTTTCTGCTCCCCTTGCATGTTCCGGCGAGGCGAGTCGTTGGCTCTCTTCCTGTACCGCCAGTTGAAAGATGCGTCCGAGCGGTGGCACCGGGTCCATGGCGAGGATCTGCGATCTAAAGGTGAGATAGGATTCATTCAAAATCAAGAGAAATCGCGTGGTTTTCTCCCTGTCTTTTATCGCCTTATACTGTTGTAGCGTGGTTTCGGGCCCCTCGAGCTTTTCTTCGACTGATTCGAGCTCATTCCAGAGGGCCGACAGCTTGTTGAAGCAAGCGGTTATGCTCATATTCCCTTGCTTTAGCTCTGAAAGCTCCTGGGTGAGAGAAAAAATCCTCGCACAGTCCAATTATCCCACATCTTCTTTGCATCTTCTGTGGGGGGAAGTCCGACGGCTATTTCTAGGCTAATACAGTTCCCGATCCATGTTCTAACGAGCTGGTTGCATTTTCTCCATTGTCTTCCCATTCTCTCGTCAGTCGGGATCGGAACAGATCCGTCTATGAAACCGTCTTTGTCCTTCGTCACCAGAGCTCGTCGGAAATCTTGTGCCCAGATCGAGTAATTTCCAGAACCCGTGAGAAGGTGGCTAATGAGCCGCAACTCCGGTCCATCGGCGGTGGATACGTAGAGAACGTCGCCGGGCTCTGGTCGGCCAGTGAGGGACGCCGTTGGATACGGCAAGTAACCGGGTGGCAGAACCGGGTAGGTATTTTGACCCAAACCCGGATTCCCTGACCCGCTTGATACCCCCGCATTGATTGTTCCAGATCCTTCGGTTGGGCCCACTCCGCTTGCGGCTGGTGGGCCGCTGTTGGGCTGGGCATTTTCTTGGCTCGCCCCAGGCAATGATGCATTTGGGTTCGGCCCAAGGTACCATGGATTCGGTATCCATTGGAAAGGCTGGCCCCCGATTGGCTGGCCCACGATGGGCGGGCCCGGTAGGAGCTGCCCTGTATTTGTCCCGGTAGGAGCTGCCCTGTATTTGTCTGAGCCTGATAGGGTTGCCAAAAAAAGGGCTGGGCCTGGCCTCCGGAAAACACAGCCTGTGGATCCAGAGTCTGTGGAATTTGTGGGTTAACTCCCTCCGAGGCATGTTGATTAGTAACATCCTCCGAGGCATGTTGATCCGTAACATCTTCTGGGGAAGACGGATCCGAAGATGATGGTTGTTTCTGATTCATGATGAGGGTAAGTGTGTAGCCTTTAGCCTTTCTTCGTCTGCTTAAAATCTGATTCCTTCGCCGGAAGGGTACCTTGTTTTTTCAGGTCCAAATTCTCGGCAGGCAATCGTTGAGGACTTGCGGAAGCTAAATCAGGAGCGAAGCCGCTCTGATACCATGAAAGAAAGCAAGATCGAAGACAAGGAGAGATGGCTTTGGGAGAAAATTCAGTGTATATTTTCTCTGTATTGCTCAATACATGATGTACAAATTTATAATACAATGCATAAATGAATAAAGGAAATAAAATATTTTACAAATCAAATACAATCCCACTTGATCTTTGCATATCACCTCAAACGATATCGCATATCTTCCAACAATAAGCTCCGACTCATCGAAAACGAAATATCGGGTTAAACGAATCAGTTTCGAAGGAGCCAACCCTAATGGCGTTATCGACGTCCTATTATGATACGGACAAGCCAAACTCAAACGGAAGATCTTGCTTGAAAAGTCTCTCGGACATCATTCAAAAGAACAAAGTACCGTGTGTTGAGTTCTGCGGAGAGTGCCTCGCACGCGTATGTTCCTCACACCCTCCAATTCGTTCCTATCAGAAAGGGAAAACGTCAGACCATCGTCAGGACACCGATTGAAGTTTTGGCATCTTATACGAGGATCCTTTGCCCCGGTTTACAAGGAAGACGAAGACAATTTGCGACGTACTGTCAAACTTGAAACTCTCAAATGGGTTGACGTCAAGGTAGGGCGCGGCGTCGGAATTTGCCGACCATTCTAGAAAGCCCATAAGAGATCTGAAAATGGTTTAGGATCTGCAGACTTCATGCTGGAAGATTCCTCCAGCATCTTTTGACAGTTTCCAACTCCCCCCCACCACTTTGTCCAAATGATATTTTTGACAAAAATGGCATCCGCAACTTCAGCAATTCGCTCTCGAAACTTGCAGCGAGTGCAAACACCAGTTAAAACCATCGTGGCCGACTTGCTACCGGCTGAACATTTACGTCAAAAATGCCATCGCCATCTTCGATTTCGATCGGACTATCAAGAGTTAGGATGCAAAAAATGTGGTCTTCAGAAATTATTAGGCCTGGAAAAATCACGATCCCTCTTGAAATTGGGCGAGAATCGATCAGAAATAGGGTCTGTCCTCGAAATACCAGGACTTTCTATTTTGTTTCGATCGTCGTTAGTGCGCTATCAGTTGCGGGAAAACGTTATTGTCATTGAGAAAATGGTTCAAAGTGCCCAGTAATTGGAATGTCCACGACACCGCACAAATACAGTAGGAGAAAACGACTTCTTGCTTCGTTTGCTCTCTCTCTTTTCTCTGCAATAGACTTCCGATTGGTTGGAGGACAGCGACAACGTTTTCTCCGGAAAGACAAAAACTTTCAGGTCCATTCTTGAACGTGACAAGGGGATCACGGCAGGCCACATACTGATAAGAAGATACTTCTCCCGCACGATTAGTTTAATCTCCGAATGCCCCGGAAAAGGGGGCTTAATTATCCAAAAAGTCCTAAATTCGTTGCGCTTTTGCTGATTCAGTCCCAAACCTTTCAATTTTTGCCAATTGAGTCATAAACGTTTTCGAGATTTGCCAATTAAATCCATCCGGCCAATTTTAGCCGGAAAATCGCTGACATAGATGCCAGCCGTCCTACATGGTACGGCTGACGCTGACGTGAACAATTTTTAATAATATTATAATTTTTTGTTTTTTCTTTTCTTTCTTTCTCTTTCTTTTTTTTCTTTCCTTCTTCCTCGACTTGGCTGGCCGGCCGGCTCTCGCCTCTAGCCGATCATCGGCCGTCGCTAATGCCCAGCGACCGGCTAGAAGAGGAAGAAGGGAAAAAAATGAAAGAAAAGGAAAAAAAGAGGAAAAGGAAAAAGAAAATAATAAATAAAATTTTAAAAATTATATTATTAAAAATTATTCACGTTACCACCGGCCGGTCTATGTGGCACGGCTAGTGTCCACATCGGCGATATTCCGATCAATTTGGCTAGATGGACTTGATTGGTAATGAAAATGTTTGGAACTCAATTAATAAAATTGAGATATTTATGACTGAGTATACTAGGTATAATAAATTTAAGATTTTTTAGATAATTTTCTTGAAAAGGCGCACCCTTAAGGACTTTCATTTCACAATTCGACGTCGTTTTTGTAGCTTTGGTTTTTTTTGGTCAGTGTAGCTTTGGTTGTCATTGTACTTTTTATTTTTGGTTAAAGTTGTCACTGTCCTTTTTTTTTCTTGGTCGAAAAGTTGTCACTGTCCTTGAGTACCAATTTTTACGCATCTGACCATTCAAAGTGTCCTCCTTTTAGATCGACGTGTTGGAGTTGATCAATCCTTAGACGATGACGAATTGACGTAAATTGCAGAAACCAAAGCAGAATAAAGACCATGTTCTAGATACATGAGCAAGAGTGAATAGGCCCAGGACAACATAACGAGAACAAGACCATGGAAGCCCATACCTATAGCACCACAACCAGAAACGCAACCCATGAGACCCAGGACACTCGGAACAAGAACAAGAACCCAGTGAGAAACTGTTGACATCCTGTAAATGCCAATTTTGATGTCAAAGAGCTGTACTTTATAATTTATAAGCAATTGATGCTATTAAACTATACATCAACTATATTCATTGACTCGGGCCGATGTTGATGAGCAAGTGTTTGGACCATTGCGACAAAGAGGAGCCTTTTAAGTTGGTCGGCAGTAATACAGCAGAGTCATCAAGTAAACGAAGTAAAGACAGATTGTGAGTATTGATTGCGTACTAAGACATGTTGGATTTCGACAAGGGGAGGAGTACTTGTATATCGAAGGACAAAGAAATATCAGTGTCTATGCTTCTGATAATGCTTTGTCAGTTTCCCGTAAAAAAACAAGTTCGATGATTTAACTTTGAAGAAAAAGATGCTGCTCCAAGACAACCTTTACTACTAAACCTTATACATTAATCATCATCAACAGTCGCCTCTCTTTCGTTTAGATCGCAGTACACAATGAGAGCCATGCATATCTTCTTCTACGGTTAATGCCGATCTGATCATGGTGAGGATTGAAGGATGCTGTTGGAGGTGGATTAGCTAATTGTGCTGATGTTAGAAGGAAAATATCATTGGATGGGCATGAAGTTCTTTACATGAACTGGGGGACTTGTTGAGTTGGTGTAACTAGTGCGATCAGCAGGTTGAAAAGGCTTAACTAGTGTGCTTCCAGCATTTTGCTCCTTGTTCTTGTTCAATGAAATTATTGACTTATCAAAAAAGAGAGAAAGAAAGAGTCAGATGTAAACTCAAGAATAGATCAGACATCTTCATCTAACACCCACCGTTTGGTCCCAAAATCTTGATCACCATACCAAACACAACCGAAATGAAACGCCAAACAGGATCAGATAATCCCACGTGCTTAATCCCCTTAAGGCATAAGCTCCATTTTTGCTGATTTGCGGGGGCGGCGGAGGCCCCAATTGCGGAACCAAAGCTGGGGTACCAGTGTTGTTTGATACTTTCGCGACGACGCCGAACCTCATTCCACCGAGGCAATGACCGGGCACATTGCAGACGAACCAGTACTTCTTGGTTTCGGTGAGAGTGACCTGGTCGTTGCCACTTGTGTACTTGGCCAGCACGCCGGTGCTCGGGTCACATGACCGGAACGTCGACTCGGTCACTTCATACACGTTGTGTTGGCCCTTTATGTACTTGAAGACTACACTGACATTAGGAAGGAAGCAAGCCAAGATTACAAGCTGTAGGCTTGCAGGATAAACGTTACTGTCGAGAGAGACATGATTTACCATTGAGCAGGATAGCGATCTTCAAAGTTGGTTTAATCAAGAAACCTCGCAGCAACTCCTTTTTTTCTCATAAGAAAATGACAAAGGTTCCTTCTTTTATTACATCACCATCATTCCTAGGTGTTAAATCACTGTTTGTTGAATATATCACCCCATCATGCAAGAATATGTGCAAAATTCTAAGGCACGCATCTAAAAGCTTCATCAGGATTTTAATGATATCAGTTTAACGGATACTTGCTATACTGATAGATTCAGGTAAGAAGAGAGATGAAGCCCGGACGCACCAAGAACATCGCCGATGCTGAAATTGTATTTCTGAGACCACACGCCGTAATCTACGCCGCTGTTCCATTCGTCGCTGTCGCCGACCGTGTAAACCTCCGACACGGCACCATCCACAAGCAAACCGAGGATGGTGAGGATCACGCAGGAGCTAACGTATCTGCACAGCTTCGTTTCCTCCATATTTGCTCTGGAAAGAATGGAAAGAGACGAAGGAACCTCCAGTCTCTTGTATATTATGGCTCTGTAACGGGTGGGTGTCCGCTAATGAGTTGGATACGAATTTATTGATGGTTTGATTGGACTTAGTCCAGTCTTCAGAACTACCCAGGCAAGTGGACTTTATGACAAATGTGTCACGGACAAGGACTCCTGTGCAAGCAATGGAGGAGGATCGCTTTCTCATTGCACGCTGTGCATACATTGTGTGCGAATTAAAATTATTGGGGTCTCAAATGACAGCCAAAAGTCTACCCCCCAAATATGATTAAAGTACACCCCAAGTGTTGCTCTCGCCTCACAGCACCACCCAAAATGCACGACCAAGTCTTTTTGTGGACGAATACACCAAGTCCAACGGTATCCAAAACTATAAGAGAATAGATACTTGCAGGCATGTCGCGGGGGATGGCTTGACATGGACAGCGATACTCACTCTTGAGAAGGCCTTCGCTCTGTTACCTCATGGCTCGATCGGCATGAGATTTCCCTTTGCAATCACATTTTTTTTGTTGCTTTTATGATGTTGTTAGCAGTGAATAGCCAATTTGTCCATAATAGTAACTCTGTACCTGGTTTGCTCAGCCTATTTGGAGTTCCATTTGATTGATGAGCAATCACATGAAAAATGCAATAGCCTTCATGACATGGTGGCCATGAAAGCCAAATTAACACTAGTATTAGCCTATTAGGGCTTGACCGGCAAACAGCAAGTGATCAATGTCTATTCAGATGCCAACGATTGTGATTAGTACAGAAGGAAATCAAATGTACACTTTTTAACACTTGACAATGAATAAGATAGATTATACGTTCCAAGATCCAAAACTTTTCCTATAAAAAAAAATGAAGTCAGTACACACGGAGGCCAACTTCCGCAGAAAAAAAATTGATGTGGCCACCCCAAAATATACATTTGGCACTAGTGTTGGAACAATCACAAGGAAACGCGCATTTTTTGCTCAAAAGGAAACCAAGCTTCTAAAACATGTCATTCACCAATCAGCAAAGAATGTTGCTGCGCAAATCGACTGTTCTTCATTTGCACAGGAATGGAAGTCTTTACATCAACAAATATCTGTTGGTGAACGAAATCGTAGTGAATCGCAAAGCTAACCTCTTTGACTAGAAAGAGGCAGAGGCTTAGACTTCAGAATCTGCTATGGTTCTCCCAAATGTCTGAATTCATTGCAATCAGCTCCAGCTTCATCCAAAGCCAAGAGAAGCTTTGGTACAATCTTGGCTAACATAAGCTTGAAGCCAACCGATGTTGAATTTGCATTGTTTTCACTGCTTACAGAGGCATCCTTCGTGAGAGATCCGATTAAATATCCCTTCATATATGCATCACAAGCCTTGAGGATGTAAAAGCCACGCTTCTGAAAATGCTCCTTGACAAGGTCTTCGAAGTCCTATATGTTCCAGGAAAAAGTTCAAAAATATTCCGGTTATGACATTTTAGCAGCAAATGCGTCTACGATTAGAGAATGAAGAAGCCTAACTTGATGTAAGAGTTGCCTGAGTTGTTTTAACATGCAACTTCTCTGGTTTAACACTAAATAGAGAATTGAAATATTTAAAGCATCAGCCTAGTAGCCTGAAAGAACATCAACCAATTAAACACGAAATTTCTCAGAACAAAAAAACGTGGACGAACTTCTAGAGGATTTAACAAGTAACCAAATATCCCCGAAAAAAGGAGCATGCATTGCTTACATCCTAAGCGATAGTCTGTAATGCATGAGTTGAAAGTTAATCTTCAAGATATCCATGACCCCACAGCATCAAAGCCGATGAGGAGGATTGCAGAGAGAACAGTGAAGTATCATAAATTTTCTTTTTCTTAAATATAGCATCGATCTCCTTAGTCAATTATGCTTTAGCCATTGAATCTGTAAAGCTCACAGAGAATAAACCATCATAGTTGGTTCCATGCCCTCGCCCTTAAAGCAGAAAAAGACAGTAGGACCAGGCAAGTGTGAAGTGAATATCAGTGGATGACAGATTCGATACAAAGAAGAAAATAGAATCACAGGGCGCATTGAATGTGATTTTACCTTGGGGGGCTTTCGCATTAGATTCAGCATTGTCTTACAATTCAGCAAGAAAGTGTTCTCATTATAGGCCAACGAGTTTTTCTCTCCTTCAGCTGTCCCAATTTGCTTATCATACCCTGCCTCATTGAAGTATGGTTTAGAATTGAGCACCAATCCTTGGAGTGAAACCAACACTTGAAGAATGCTAGAAGATAAGGGATCCCACACTTCATTCCCTCTGCCAGTCCAGGTGTTCAAAAGGCTAAGGCAAACTTTCCCCTCCTCATACAAGTTGGGATTAATCCGCCATCCGCCAGAATGATAATATGCTGACTGCAGGTTTGAGGTACAATGTTACAGAAAAGCCCACTTCAAAGGAAATGAAATTAAACCTTTAATATAACCAGATAAGAGACATAATTTCAGAAATTAGAAATGCATTGTCAAAAATTTCAGAATTTCTTACTGGTGGAACATCGGGATACTCTGGGGGAAGGTGAAAGTCAAAGAAAAAAAGACCATCTTGGTAGGGTGTCGCATACGCCCCGACAATTACTGCCCTCACAAGATCCATTCGGTCTTCATAGACTCGTACATAAATCCCATCTGTTGAATTCATTTACAATGAGATCCAAGGCCATTTGACTTGAGATGATATCTACAAATTCCATTGACTCTACACATCTAACACAATTATGATTACCAGGGAGGTTATTCTGAAGGATATTCCAGTCTTGCTGTACCTTCTTGAACCACTTTCTTCCACCATTGACCTGTAGATAACATTATTACAAAGTTCAGATTTCAACTCTATCCATGATAGGCTTACGATCAGAAAATAAAGGTCCAACAACACCCCCACACCCCCCCGCCCCCCCACACACACACGCACACACACACACGCACGCACCTCCATTTATTCTCTCACTGGATGCAGAGAAAAAGGGGGCAACGGGTTCTACACTTGGACTGCCCTTTTAAGCACTGAGTATCAGCCTTTCATTTATCCCCTCAATATCATATAATTTAAAATAAGGGAACTGCAACCTTTCATTTATCCCCTCAATATCATTTAATTTAAAATAAGGGAACCGTAATTTTTTTAAATGAGACTCGCAGCATTACCTGTCCATTCGTGCCAATGAAATAGTGATCTAGAGGATCTCTAGCCGTATCAAAACGTTTAAAAGTGCAAGTAGTTTCTTCATAGGAGGCTGGAGCATCTACTTCCTGAGGCCTCGTATTGCATAAACTTTCAGCTGCATCCACTGGATCAGGAACTATCCCAGAAATATCTTGATCCCCAATAAGATAAGTCGTGTCTGTACCCGTACAGTCCATGATGTTAGATTTCTGCGAGCTACACTCGTCACTAGAATATAATCCATCGGAACTTTGCATCAACATCTGGGAATGACTGTCATTTTCAGCTTCAGAATCCAAACCAGAGTCCAGATTTTTCCGGCCTCGTGAAAATATTCCAGTTGCCAATCTGGTTACAAATCCAATCGCAGCCAAAGGAAAAGAAAGTGCTGAATTCATTCCAGTATGGTTTTCCACACTCTCTTCTCCAGAATCATTGTCATCATCATTTGCAAGTCCAACCTCCTAGAAATAATTCGGCGTCGTTACTCAGAGAAGGGGCAATTAACATACACCATATAAAGGAAAAATTCCTGTAGATATTGTTTACAGCAAGAGTACAAATAAAGTTCAATGACATTTTATTTACAAGATCGTTTCATTAGAGCTACCACTGATCCTGCTTCAAAGTCCAAGAGAGGTCTCTCGATTCAATCAACTGTGTAAGTTCTAAAATATTGAACAGAGTTGTAATGCAGTCTGGCTCAAGATATGTTCAAGGTAGACATCGCAAACATCAACTTTGCGACCATGCAAAGCACTTACGAAATCTATAAAAACAAAAAAGTTGATTTCTAAGAAAGCCATCTACTTTAGTCATAAATTGATTGTTTTTTCAGCATAACAAGCTATTTAACGTCCATGTAACTTCACTTCAGGGCTAGAAATATTTATGAAGTCAAACAGCAAATTGTTAGTGCCTCATTAAACAAGTAGGCCACATTTAAACGCCCGACAGGGTTCTGCTACATGACTTTATAAACCAGTTTTGTAAACCAACCTTTGTATTTCTTCTCTTCAGTATCCACTCCACTAAATGCGAATATCATCCATTACACCAGATAATTCTAATAGCATGTTAACTTGTGTTATTATTAAATTAAATGAGTCCAAATTGTTCATGATAAAATCTCCTCCTTGTACTTTTTGTGACAATCGTGCTAAGTGCACGTGCCTCACATCGCCAGGCCGGAAGGTTGTCTCTGCATTTACATTCATCAAATTGTGCTCTAGGCATAAGGAGAAACAAACCTCTTTGTCATTTGCTACAGCGTCCATTTCATCATCATCTACAGTTTCCCAACTTGCAGCATCGCTAACCCCGCTGCCAGAAGCAATCGACGCATCGTCATCATCTCGACCGACAACATATATGGCCTGCGGTCCGACCTATAAACCACAAAGAAGAGACAACAAAAGGCCAGATATTAAATCTAGTCTATAAAAGGAGAAAGCGAGCGAGAACGAGTCACATTATTGTAACAAAACTGAAAAAATGAGTGGAATTGATTGAAGGTCATTTTTTGTCCAGAGGGAGGAACAGAGCAATAAAGATTTAGGCCTGGCCTGTATCCAACCTAGTAACACGTGGAGCTTTAGACATGACGAATCTTTGGAATTATTTCTTTTCGAGCTCATTATTCAAATGATTCACAAGTAATTTCTCACTGGTTAAAGCCAGCAGCTGTTCCAGCTCAAGTAGAGTTTCTAACTGTTAATCACCAGATTTACCACCACATTGAGAAAGTTCATGCAAAAAATAGAAGGGCTCCAACCTTCTTCCATCAATTGCTTTTGCGGTTGAAAGCAAAAAGAAGAAAAAACAAAAGAGGTGTTAATGTCAACAATGGTAAGCATGCCAACTGCGCACAGACCATTGTCAGACTAGTGCTAAAAGAGTACATAAGTGTAACTATAAATAAAGGAAGATATAAATAGCTATAGGCTGTCATGCATACCGTTGAAACCATCCCGTCAGCCCATGTAACTTCAATGTCACCATCTTTAAGCCCGGTTATATTACCGACCCATGAAAGATCTGTAAAGGTAGAGGTAGCTTCATTGTCGGTGACTTCCTCGACCTTTTGAGTCCCCAAGCTGTCTTCTTCGTTATCTGTTGTATCCTCATCTGGCACGCTTTGTTGCATTCCTGTCTCGATAGATTTCATACCAGAATCCATTTGCAAAGAAGCAGAAACTGGGGACAAACGTACAACGACGTCACCATAACAATAGTCATAATCTGGATGTCCCTCCAGCTCATAGACACTAACAACTTCCTCTTTCTCAAACTCACGAGTATCTTCTGGCCTGGCAACTGGTTTTAACCAGTTGACACGAGCTGTTCGCTCTTTGGCATTTACACTTTTCACTACCCCAACACGCCGAACTTCACCAGCATAATCCTCGTCATCAGCAGCCTTTTCGACCACATACTGTTCAGCAACAAATTCATGATCACCAGGCGTCTCAATTGGAATCAATTTTGTTGAGTCCAGACAGCGTTCAATCTGACCGTCCTGCCACGCCACATCAACTTTTGTTCTGGTATTGACAATTTGAAGAGCTTTTTCAAAATTTTCCTCTTTCCTTCGAATCTTCTTGTCCCTCTTCAGAACAACTTTACGAATCTTTTTCCGATGAAGAGGCCAAGGTTCATGAAGAGTTTCCTTGGCAACCGACAATGAACTGCTACATGAGCTAGACTCAGATGAGGCTGCGTATCGTGTAATTGATTCCAATGGAGCCTTTGGGTCCAATACAGTGTCTGCATCAGTATCCATGAACTCTCTGTTGTCAATTGACTCATCCAATGCAACCTCCTTTTCCGGTTGAGAGCTATCTAACTCACTGTTGAGCGAGTCATCAAGTTCTAGTCTTGACAAACCCTTGTATAATAGAGACGAAGCTGGTGTTGAAGATGGAAGAAGACACCAGTCACCTAGCTGCCAATTTGCATGGGAAAAGCAAGACAGTAATTTCAGTTTCTTCGGGCTCTGTTCTTCCGCTGGAGCAGTCGAAGAATCAGGCCCGTGTCCAGCGGACGCTATCCAATATATAAACACCGAGCCTATCGTGACTTTGGTTACGGTACCCTCCAACTTATTAGCTTTCCACAACCCAGATAGCCATCTCGAATTCTTGAAAATCGAAGAAGAGCTAGCCTTGACACGTTGACCAGGAAAATAAGTACAATGCTCATCTTCAAGTAGATTCTTGGTGATAGGTTTGAGGCGATGTGGCTCAGCCTTCATTACTTTACAGACAGAACCATCATCAAACTGCACAGTCACATTATCTAGAACACCATCTACTCTACCCAGCCACGGACCGAGGACAACATAATCTCCAATAGAAAATTCCGTCACACGCTTTAGTTCTCTCGATGGTATATCTTCTATAGTAGATCCACTATAAGTTGATACATCCACATTTATACTAACATCCACCACGACACCAATTTGACCTGTAGGGTCTAAGGCTGAAGCCACATAATCCCCGTGTAAGAATCCCCGATCAATGACTGTTACTTCATTAAGACTTTGAGTACTCTCAATGTCATTCATCCAGAGCACTCGAACTTGGTCGGCAGATAGAGGACCTGGTTTCTCATCACCTTGGCTTCCGGCACAATTTTCCCGAGATAATTTGATTCTATCACCATCAGTCTCCTCATTTGCACTGTCTTCAGCATCGTCTTCATCGTCTTCGTCTTCATCCTCCTCATCAGTAATGCTGCCATCTGAATCAGAGTCCCCAGCAACTTCAGTCACTATACCGATCGTTCCATTTTTTTTGCTCCTCACCACATCTTGCCTATATATGCCAGGGAAACTCTGAGTTTCCTTGATGTTTCTATCTGCTTCTGCCATTCCATTGCTGTCACCATTGTTATTCACGTCAGAAAGACAACCACCGATAGCAGAATCAGCTTCCTCCAGAGTCGCGTCGTGCCCACTTGTGGTTGGTTCCTCAGCAGCAATATTCTTCTGTTGCAATGCCATCTGACCATTCATAAAATCCAAATTTAACATCACCTTCGAACAAATTGTCACCCAAATCACAAACCAATCATGATATCTTATAAACACCGCCAAAAGAACATATAAAAGTGCATCACAAAGGATTTGCAGAAAGAACGAATAAAGGGAAATAAGATCATATGCCCTCGTAGCCCAAATATATGTATGCACCGTATGTTCCCCTAGGCTCGAATTCCCAGACAATGTCGGCCATTCACAACAAGATTACAAACAGGAGCTCTTTTTAGTGTCGCAATGGAACACTAAGTCCTAAAAATCTCTACAGGCCATGTCTTCCAAACCTCTGAGATTCAGGAGTGACGAAAAATATGATTTCTCTACGGAATACCATCACCTTCGCGTTTCGGAAATGAGAAGACACAATTCGTAAGAATTTAAAAGAGAGAAAAAAACAAATCTTTTAGCAACAGGCAGCTATTGAGCGGATTAAACCCTCGAAAGATTCAAATAGATTAAATCTTTTAAGCCACCAGAACGAACGGCATTCAATCAGGCATCAGGTGCAAACAAGCCAAGCGCGCCTCCAATGAACAACGAACGATTGCCAGCTTCAAACAGAACCCACCCAATGACCCATCGAAACACAATCAATAAATGCAGATATCAACAACACGAGCTACCCATCTTCATCCCACGGAGCTCATCCCAGCTTATCATAACCCTAAAGCAGCTGAAGAACAAGCCGCAGACAAGACCCAGAAGACCAAGAAATGAACTAAAACAAAAAACACGCGCGCGCGAAGGAGCTCCAATCAGCTACCCATCCAATCGATCGTCGACGAATCCAATCATACACCCACACGATCGATCCAAAGCAAGCTACCCATGAATCATCCGCCGCCTCCCCACAAGATCATGTCGCGAGACGGAACCGAGACAATCAAGGACAAACCCAAGAAACCCAAGGAACAGTCACCTCGTAAGGGAAGATCAGTTTCGGAGGAATGGAGGAGAGAGATGCAGAGAGGAAGATGTACGTCGGAGACGTTCTTGTCTGAATATATATTTTCGAACGAGCGGCCCTTCGGCTTTTTTGTTTAGCGATGGGGAGAGAAACGTGAATGTCTGCGACCTCGACAGGGGGGACCGGGGGAGCTTCGATGGCTCGATCCCGGATACGGAGAGAGGGGCATAATCGTAATTCGGACCCCGCGCGACCGGCTCGTGCTGGAGGCGGAGGCGAGGGCAATCGTGGGGACGGATTTGCTGGCGAAAGGCCCAGATTGCCCCTACCCTTTCGTTCCTTCGTTTTCCAATTTTTTCCATTTCCGACCAAAAATAATCCACAGGAATATGTTTTACGGGAGAATTTCGAATAGGAATCCGAAGTGAAGCCGGTTTTCTTTTTCTTAAAAAGGGGCCTGGAAAAATTTGAAAGCGACCTTGTTCAAGTCCCTTATTGAAGCAAGATTCACTCGGACCTCTCTTAAAAAAAGTCGCCTCAATTCAAGCCATTATTTGAAAGTTTCGCCTATAAATTTGTCACGAAAATGCAATTGAATCTTAAAAATTTTCAAAAAGTGCAATCAAGTCCTAAAACTTATCCCAAAAGAATAATTAAGCCATAAAACTTTCAAAATGTGCAATTAAGTCTTGAAACTTGTCAAGTTTGCACAAACAAGTCTCAAAATTTGTTAACATTTTTCATTTGTCAAGTTAGATAGAATTAATGAAAAGATTTGATTGTACCAATTTGACAAATTTTAAGAACTCGATTGCACTTTTTGAAAATTGTAGAACTCAATTGCACTCTCTGACAAGTTTCCACATTATACTTATCCCTTTTATTCGTCCTTAACGTGATCCATTTTGTTGGGGGTGATTGAGATTACTAAGCAATGAAACGAGCATCGTGGAAGTCAAGAAAGGAGGGATGCTTTCTTGGGCTATTATGAAACGTAATGTAACGTGATAAAAGAGTCGAGTCCGCGGCGACAAGGCAAGGGAAACCCAACAGACTCCGCAATCGAATCGGGTCAAAAGCTTGGGCCGGTCGGGCCCGATCCCGAGCTTGGAAACCACTCGTCAGGCCCGCCGGATTAAAAAAAGGTATGGGCCTTACCGGGCCGGACACCCATTTCGATCCGGTGCAACCGAACAAAACCCGTGCCCGACCCGTTACCTGCAAATGAAGAACTCGACTCCTCCTCAGCAGCGTCAGCTCCAGCGGTTGAAGCAACGCGATCGGAGAAAGATGATCGTCTGCGTCGCCGTCGTCGGCCACCAGGTACGCCTCCGCCCCCGCGGTGCACGCCGGTGCCCGGGATGCGCCCTCGTGCGATTCGTCTTCGATTTTTCCAGATCGCCTGAATCCATCTTATGGCTGTTCGTCTTTTTGTGTTTTGATTCGCGCGGCTTTTGATCTCCGATCGGGATCAGAACAACCCGCTGTACATACAGAGCTTCACGGAGGCGGACGATGCGCTCAAGCTTCACCACATAGTCCACTGCTCTCTCGACGTCGTCGACGAGCGAGGTAGTTCGTAGTTCCCTCTTACACGTATCTGCACGCGTAGCTCGTTGCCCGAACTTTGATCCGTGTCACTTCATTTGGCTAATGTTGAGAATGTTTTCTTCTTAAGGGCTGTAATAACAAGGTTGCTAGCATCCGGTTGATTCTGATTTTAGCGGTGATTCAGAAATTGCATTTGTTCTTTAGCTAGTGGTAGGGAGTGGGGAAATTTCTCATAGCAAAGTTTAGATCTTGGCACATATTGTGATTTTGAGGCTAACGTCACGTTGCGGTTTCCTATTGGTGAATTCTTATGGTGTTGTGGTTGCTCTGTTTGAATATGTTCAGTGAACAATCCGAAAAAATCAGGGCCACTGCTGAATGAGACTTTTCTGGGTCTTCTTTATCCGACCGAAAACTACAAAGTGTAAGTCCTCTTTTGCTTACTTGATGAGTAGAAACTTGTGTCGACCAGTAATGGTTAGTGCTCTGTGATTTAGTAAGCGAGTTTTTGGTTGATGCGGTCGTTCTGCTTGCAGGTATGGCTATCTGACTAATACAAAAGTGAAGTTTATCCTAGTCACAACAGATTTAGATGTCAAAGATGCCGATGTGAGAAATGTGAGTAAACTTAAGTAAATACAGTTGTTTCTGGTGTAATTTTCCGAACTCTTCAGTGAACTCTTACATCAGTATCCTTATACAGTTGCATGTCGGCTGTTGATCCTAGGCTTTGCTATAAACTTTCCATTGTTGCCAAGTTGAAAATGTATCCTGGATGTGATGGTAAATAATAGAGGTTTGAGTTTGCTGATCCTGGAATAGGGATCTGCTGAATGTGGTGGTAACTAGTAAACTTCAGGGTAAAGATTCTCTCATAGGGAACAGACTGGTGGCATGTGTCTTGGTGGAGCCTAAGGGACTAAGCCTAAAACGTAAATTTCATGCTTGTTCTTGTTAGTAACTTACAATTCTCTTGAGGGCAGTCGGGTATTTGTGGACCATCAATGCACCCAGCTTTAGATAGCGAGGAAATCTGATAAAGCAGAGCTTACTCGAGTGGAGATCCTCATCGTTTGAAGAAAAAAATGGCAAGTAGTTGAGATAGTGTAAAGCATAAGAAGCATCTTTTAAACTTTGATTCTAGTAAAAAGGAATCATTTGACAGGTGATGGATCAGATTGCAACACTTGCACTTTGTCTTCCTTTCCGTTTCCTCTCCTGCTCCTTGCAATATTATGTGAAACAATCTACTTCCTTTGAGGGAGTGTACAGATCGTCTAAGGCTATAGAAGAGAGCATGTAGCAGTACTTGGATATGAATGGACTATGAATAATACGAGGTCTAGCTTTGCTTATGCATCACTGGCGCGTAGCTGGTTTTGTAAGTTAGTAATGATGATCTCTTCTGGCATGTAAGATGAAGAGGTCATTGCCATTTTGTAATTACATAGCAATATGCAGATTGTATCTTTAGGATGCTTGAGTAGGTACATTCTGCTCCTACTGGTAGTTGTATCATCTCGCCTGTGATTGAAATCTGTCTCATTGCTTTGTTTACGAACAGTTCTTCCGGAGGTTTCATGCGGCATACGTGGATGCAGTTTCGAATCCGTTTCATGTACCCGGTAAAAAGATAACCTCCAGAACATTTGCGGAGAGAGTCAGTACCATTGTGAAGGCATTTGGCTCAAGTTCAGCTGGCTGAAGCAACTTATCACTGAACGATACACTTTTTGTCCACTTTTCTGCTGTTGCTGAAACTGCAATGGGTTGTGATATCTTGCTTACTCAGAAAAGGGTTGAGCTTCTGTTAATTCCATGTTTTACTGATCATATTTGTTTCAGGAATGGACAATACCATTAATTTTACTTTTAGCTTTTGAGCTACATCTAATGGATAATACCATTAGTTTTACTATGCTCGGGAGAGAGACAAAATTTTCGACCAGAATACATAACAAATTCGATATCACAGGACTTTAAAAAAAATAGAAATAATTCTGGAGATTGATAAATGGGTTAATATCACGAAAAACCTCAAACTGGTACACCCATGACAATTTTACCCCAAATTAATTTTTTAACCACTAAAAACCCAAAATTGGTACACTTGTGACAAATTTATCCTTAGTTTGTTTCCGTTAAATTTTTCTATCAAATTATTTTATTAAATGACACGCGACAGTTAACTGATGTATCAGTTTTATGTTTTATCTTCCGTTTGTCACAGGTGTACCAGTTTGTGATTTTTTGTGGTATTAATTCAATTTAACGGAAACTAATGAAGGGTAAATTTGTCGCAAATGTACTAGTTTGGGGTTTTTACTGGTCAAAATATTAGTTTGGGATAAATTTATCACAGGTATACCAGTTTGGGATTTTTTGTGATAAAAAATTTAGTTTTTGGTAAAATTGTCACATGTGTACCAATTTAAGATTTTTCGTGGTATTAACCCTAGATAAATTAAGGGAGTTTTGCGCAACAATTGTTCGTCCTATCACTTCATGAAATTAATGAGAATGCAATTAGTGCAAAGAATGCCCAAGAATTCACACATCATTAGATTATAGGATGACATGTAAATCTAATGTCATTAGATTATAGGATCTTTGACCCAAAAAAAAAATTAGATTATAGGATCAAAGTACGACCTACGTGAGAGGGGAGTAGGCTTAGGACAAAGTCCAGTCTACACATGAAGAGACTGTAAAATAATTAAATATAAAATTTACGCCTTTATTTAACAACTTAGACTTTTAGAACAGTTGATGGTGTACTTACAAAATCTAACACGGTATCAGATACTATCTCTTTCGCATATGTGCGTCCACACACATCAGTCAAAATTATATGTTCAAAATTCTATGTGTTGCTCTTAATTCGGTTTGCACAGTGAGAGCGGTGTTGAAATATTGTCTTACATGCTTCACAACAAATTCTATATGCTCTTTATATTCATGTGGTCTTTCTTTATCTAATAGTTTTGGATAATCTAACATAATATTAGAGTTAGTCGATCCTAAAGTGCATCAGGTGTAAGGGCACACCTGAGTGTGCATCCGGAGCTAATCTCACATCTCATCATTTTTGTTTTCAATAAGTCGTAATATCCTCCATTGATCGCCTTGTCCGATTGCCAACATCAACGAGTTCTGTCATCGCATAGTTTGCAAAGCCTTGTCATTTGAGGAAGTGCCATTGCCCAATTACTATTCTGTCAGCAAAGTCAACTGTATTGGCCAGTTGCTATTTCCTCCGAATTCTCAGCTTGGTCATTACGGCGCTAGCCGCATAGGCCACGTCATTTAATATCTGTTTTGAAAGCAAAACCAGCCACATCAGCCGTTTGCAATTACAACGCCAGCCGCATCGGTCGCGTTCGTTCAGTTACTGTTTTGGTCAGCAAAGCCAACCGTATCGACCATGCTTTCCTTTGATTCACGACATCCGCTGCTCATATCAAAGAATCGACATCACCACCAAACTCGCCGCCTTAGGATTTTCTTAATGACAACCTAGGTGTTTTCATATTTTTTAGAGATAATTAGATAATTTTCTAGGATATTTGAGATAATTAAGATATTTCTATTGATTCTTCTTATCTTTCAATATTGTACATATATCTCTTTTTAATTGTGCTAACTTGATTGATATGTTATCTTAGATATTTATCTCATAAATCCTAGACTCTATATTCTTCTTCAAGATACATCAAAATATAAATAGAAATTTCATATTTCTCTCTTCAGCGTTATATTTCTTATTTGCAAACATGACCTTATGAATCATTGCTTGGGGAGAGTATTTTTCTCCTCAGGAATTGTATTAAAAAAATCGAAATATTACAGATCGATGACTTAATCCCCTAATTTTCATCTCATCCTCCTAATCTCAAACATTTCTGTGATCTGCTCAGTCGGATTGTTCAGCAGACCCGCGCATTGTAATTTCCTGGCGGTGGTGCTTGTTTGAAGTGCTGAATACGATAGCTAGGAGAGGAAGGAATTGATCTGCATCTGGATGGTAGAATTCTCTGACAACTGACAAGGCAACCAAAGAAGTCCAGCAATTCAACTTATATCTCCAAAGTCCGATCACTTACATATCTGAAATTGATGCCATAAGAGGGCAACATATTCTGGCAGTCAAAATGACATCATTGTAGCTCACGCACTCATCATCCTTACTTTACTAGCACAAACACAAACATTCCCTTATTTTACTCTACATGGGAAGAAGAGAAACGAGAAATTGAGAAAACACTCGCTATGTAACCTGAAAAGGCAAATAGCAACATATGGGACCAAGTTCTGAGTTCAAGAAATTCTCAGCTTCCCGCAATTGTAGCGCGCTATTCTCGGCAGCTGCCCGGCCAAGAACCTGGCTAGTACTATATTACTCAAGAAGTTCCATATCTTGCCATTGCTTTGTGCCATGTATCCCACCATATAAGCTGTAGTTATGAGCTGAAATGCTCTCCATCTCCGCTCTTTGGCATAATTCCGCAAACCCATCTCCATCCTCTTGTACTCATCCTCCTCTTCCATACCCTTTCCTTCACATTTAATCACTTGCCTTTCTCTCATTGCTTCACCCAGGCATCTTGCTAAGATGACGCCATCTTCTAGGGCCGCACAGCCTCCTTGGGCAATATCTGGTGTCATGGGGTGGAATGCGTCTCCAGCTACACAAACGTTGCTTTTGCTTATGCTTCCCCATAAAATCTCCCACGGGTGTCTAAATCTCAGTGGAGATAACATCATGTCATCCAATTCCGTGTCATCTATAACAGCTTTTATGTTGTCGGCAACTTTTCCGAGCTTGCTCAGCACAAATTGCTTCATCTTAGACGGATTATCTATAATCTCTTCATCTACATTAAGGAAAATGGCACAAGTGCTTGAACAAAATATTCATATCAGTCGAAAAGGATTTAATATATGTTGAGCCCAGTTTATATCAGAGAAAAAAGAAGATGAAGATTTTATCTTTAAAGGAAAAAATTGCATATCGAAACTCACCCTGGTTGGAAGGAGAAAAACTGAAGAACCAGTATATTGTCTTATCGTCGCAAGGAATGACACCGTATCTAACTCCTTCACCCATGAACAGGAAAATTTTGGGCTCGAGACCATGACCATTTTCATAATATACACAGGCCCTGATGCCGAATCGGGCAACAAAAGCAGGCTTCTTGAAGCCTAGCCATTTGGCCACTGCGGAGTTCACTCCATCACACCCAATCAACAACTAGCATGTACAAACAGAGTATAAGCATAAAGATCAGTTAAACCATAGACAACCTCAAGTTTCAAACGCGAGAGAATTTTTCAGTAGATAAAAGGGGGCTCCTCTCAAGAATTAATTGTAATTGTCATTCCAAGCAAATTTTCGTAATCAATGGTAGATTACAATGTGATACCTTCGCCTTGAGAATAGAACCATCAGAAAGATGAATAAGCTTGAGGTAACCTGATTCCTCGATTGAAACCACCTTGGAAGAAAATTTAATAGTGCCACTTGGAAGTTCTTTCTCAAGAGTCTCCAACAAGATCTTCCTCTGCACGCAACGAAATTCATGGTCTCTCCTGCAATACACAGACCAGATTACATAAAGGAAATAGAATAATGTTCTTCTTTCCACAAAAGATACGAGGAGCTCATCTGGTAAATTGACTGGCTAATTTCAAATATGAACGACTTAACTGCGGCCCCATGGCACTTAACGGTATCTCTGCTGTGCAAAGTCCAGAAATTGTGGAAGATGTCATCACCCTGCAACCAAAACCTCCAGCATGTCAATTTGAATAACAGGCACAGAGATATGAAAAAAAGAACTTTATGGTACCTATGTCCCATATTAGGTATCAGTTCACGTCTTCTTTTGGCGGGTGCAGTGTTTGTCTCACTATTCATTCGGATTGTAAATTGTTTGAATCTATTAAAATTGACCGCAACACGTCTTCTACATTGCTATAGCTAGAGAAGGGAGTTTCTTAGTTACCTGAGAAGTCGGTTGTGCTGCCGACGGAGCGATTCGCCAACCCCGACTGCGTCCAAGGCTTTCCAACCATTTGTCCATATTCCTAAAGCAAACCCTGTGGTCCTCAAATGGTCATGGGACTCCAAAACCAAGTTTCTTATGCCCAGCCTGCAGCACACAGCATTTTCAGTAATATGGAGAAATAAACAAACACGTAGAGGGCGTAAAAGATGAGTAAGAAACTTCCGAGGCGAACTACTCTCAATTTTTTCAAGTACAGAACCTATGAAGTCCTAAAGCTGTGGCAAGTCCTGCTATCCCTGCTCCGACAATGACTATGTCCTCAACTGCTTCCATGGCACAGTCTGACCGAAGACGAATGTCTCGTGCTTTAGAAGTATCAGTGACTGAGGTTTCAAATAGTAGTGGGGTTCCACTTCAGACCGCAACATGAAGCATATAAAGATAAGTGGGACAAAGATGATGATCAGATTCAGGGGTCACCATTAAATTATGCAAAGATATGATGCCCAAGAAATGCATTGCGTGCAAAGACAAACAGAAAGTGAACACCGATATGATGAATGAAGCCATTAGCTATAAAATACAAATGGAAGCGATGAGGTATGATAGGTTCAATTACGTGTGCGCGTGCGTGTCAGTCTGTTTCTGTAGCTCTTATTCTGACTCTTGGCAACACTGATATGAGATCCAGTGATCAGCCACTGATTATTTTGCTTGACAGTTCCGTTTTTATGGAACGAATGCGAGCCTAACCTTGCCCGTGCTCTGTTGATTCTTCTTGTTTTCTAGATTTTGCTTTGTTTTGTTGTATTCTGACTTTGCTTTGCTTCATTTGCTTTGGCATGCAAGTCTATATACATCTTATGCATCCTTTTGAGCAATAAATACAATTTTCCTTCGACAAAAACAGAAGTGGGCGGAATCTCCTGCCATAACAAGCCCAACACAGCAATCGAACAAGACGGTCTAAGTCCGCGGTGTGCTGCTACTTAAATTGAAGACTTGAATAAGGGGTACCTCTTTTTTTGGGTCGAGAATAACGGGTACTTCATACAGAGGCAAGTCTTGGACATTCATGGACAAATATTCCAAATAGAACACAGACAGCTTATGGAAATCTTGCGTAACCTTTCTCTTCATGCTGACACAGCCCTCAAAACGATGTTTTACAGCAAATCTAATCAAACGAAGGGTCTCCTCCACGGATGCAGCATCATGCAGCAAAGCAGTCCTTGCCTTTCAAACGAAATAAATGCAAGCATTCGAAAGGAACTTCACCAAAGCTTTCTGCAGCCCCCATGGCCTTCCCTACTTGCAGAAGAAAAGTAAATTCTGCTTGGACTTTGCACCATACTTGAGCAGAAAAGCGACATTCAAAGAACAAATGAGATCGAGCATCATTACACTTCTAACAAAGTAAACACAACAGAGACACACCAGGTGCAGACCACCAACCAATTCTTTCTAGTGTAGGCTGCCTATCAAGAATCGAGCCAGGAAAAAGAACAAAATCTGGGCATGTTAGTTGAAAGCCGGACAAGCCTGTGCCACACAACTTTGGTGCCTTTGTTCCTAACTGCATTCCAAGCACCAGCAGTTGAGAAAAAACCAGAGGATGAAGCAATGCAGATAACTCTGTCCTTCATGGCAGAATAGCGAAAGAGAATTCCAAAAGTTGCTGATTGAACAGAGAAAAGTTCATCAAATATAGCTCCTTGACACACCCAATCAAGAGCACTAATATCAGCTGAGACTTTGGCATACAAAGGGAGTATGGAATCATAAACAACTCCCGTGCTTTCAATTTAGTAGTTTCAATGTTTTCATTTGCTATTGTCAGATTTGTACATTTTCTTCAATCTTTTTCTTATTTTGGCTTTTTCATGCCGTCATCCTGACAAATGTTGATGCGCAAGTTTTATGACCCGCCTCAAATACGACCCCTCGAATGTATTTTTACAAGATCTTGTTCCAGAACAAGACAAATTGAAGAAATAGTTCCATTCATTTGAGGACACAATTAAATTTTACTCGATCATTCTCTTCACATGAAAAGCGATGTTTTACCAAAAAGAAATGCATGTTGCCCAAACAAAGACAATTATGGCACGTTGTCATTCCTTAAAATCCCAGAAACCATACATAAATGTGCCATTCTTAGACTTTTCCATCCCTCACTTCACAAGCTCTTTTGTGGTCGCTCCAGTTGAATGGGATGTCTCCGCATAGACAGGAACCTTTTCTATGATATTTGAGAGGCGAAGCAAACCAATCACAACTTAACATAACTATCTCCTCTATTACCATTTTCATATAAATGCCCGCAAAACACATTGATAAGTAAATAAACAGGTTGATTCAAGAAGCGCTCAGCTTCCCGCAATTGTATCTCGCTATCTTCACCAGCTGCCTGGCCAAGAAGGCGGCCAGTACTCTGTCCCTCAAGAAGTTCAATACCTTCCCATTGCTCTGTTGGATGTATCCCACCATGTAAGATGTACTTATGAGCTCAAAAACTCTCCATCTTCTCTCTTTGGCATAACTCTGCAAGCCCATCTCAATCCTCTTGCACTCTACTTCACTGTTCATGCCTTGCTTGTGCCTCAATAATTCCTTAAAAATAGTGTGTGGGCCACTATATAAGTGTGGATATACCATTAGCAATGTTATGGGACAAATAATTCGTTAAAAAAAGTGTTATCATGCCTGAAAGTCTAATTTTTTTTTTCTTCCCGATTGCTTGATTTTTCCCAACAGAACCACTCAAATATCAATTCAAATCGGGCACAGAGCCATGAGAAAAAGAACTGGCTGTTGAATTAATATCATGGCGAATATCTCTTTCATCTAGAGTTGATGGATCTATGTTGAATATCAGTTGTCATGTAAAGGTGCTCACTCAATTCTAGCGTGGGTACTCGGCAATATCATGATGTGTCTAATCCCTGTCTTATTGCATTCCTTCTTTAAAACCCGAACAAACGGCAAACTCTCTAGATTAAGACATCACCATCGACAGACACTCACAGTTCAGGGAACATGAGGCTTGGAAATCATTCTCGTCGATAACAAGCTCAATTTATAACGGACAGTCAGTATAATCCATTCCATGATCCTGTGAGAATTTTTTTCCATGATCATTCCAAATTAGAATGACGTGTCCGCCCTATAACCTTGATGAAGCCTCCGCCGTGTGAAAAACAATAGGTTGTCAAGTAACCCGGAAGGCCAAGCCAATCACTCGTGCTCATATCTTCGTTTGTGGGTTCAATACTATGTCGCACTATACATTCAAATTGCATTTGGAATTTATCAAATCACAGTAATCCTAAGAATAAGAAATATATTCATCTCACCCAAAGACTTGGTTGTGCCGTGGGCGGAGTGGTTTTGCTGATCCCGGCCGCATCCAAGCATTTGTCCATGTTGTAGAAAAGTACCCCGTGGTTCTCAACCCATCAGACGACTCCAGAACCAAGCTTCTAAGGCCAAGCCTGCGACACACAACAGATTATCAGCACTCACTTGAATATCAGAGACATGCGAACAAACAAGGAGGGTGAGAATAAGAAGGAGCAGAGCAAGAAACTTTGACTGCTCCATATCCAGTACAATCACCTGTGAAGTCCTAAAGCTGTAGCGAGGCCTGCTATGCCTGCACCAACAATCACTATGTCTTCAACTGCTTCCATAAAACTTATGTCAAGTTTTAATTGGGATAAAATGTATTATTATTTCATTCAACTAAAAATTACATTATATTCAAGTTTTAAATGGGCTCAAACCCATCTGAATTGGTGAAAAACATTTCCACTTTTTGAACTCTAAAGCAAATGCTGTCTGAGAAAATGAAGGGCAGTTGATACCGTTGCACCAAACTTTATGTTCGTGGAAGCAGTTCTCTAGTTGCAAAATTGGAATTTTGAATGGTTAATTCGATGTGTCGACTTTATAGCGGCCCAACATATAAAAGGACGAGTTAAGGCTTTTCGTCAATGAAGAACTAGCAAATTTGCCAAAAACACAAAATCTTGAGTTATGAATGATATTTATGTGAACAAGACTCCTCCTTGACATTTCTGAAATTATACATAAAAGTGTCCTTATTTGTCCTTCACTTCACAAGCCTGTCTTTGCATAGACAGGAACTCTTCTCTGATATTTGAGAGGCGAAGCAAACTGATCACGACTTAACTATCTCCCCCATTAGTATTGTGTATATGATGTATGATGAGGTTGGCCCATATAAATGCTCGCACAAAACACATTGATAAGTCAACAAATAGGGTAATTCAAGAAGCGCTCAGCTTCCCGCAATCGTAACTCGCCATCTTGAACCTCTGCCCGGCCAAGAAGCTGGCCAGTACTTTGTCCCTCAAGAAGTTCCATACCCTGCCATTGCTCTCTTCAATGTATCCCACCATGTAAGCTGTGCTTACGAGCTCAACTGCTCTCCATCTTCTCTCTTTGGTATAATTCTGCAAGCCCTTTTCAATCCTCTTGTACGCTTCTTCACTGCTCATGCCTTGCTTCTCCCTCAAGGCTTCACCGAGGCATCTTGCTAGGACGACGCCATCTTCTAGAGCTGCACAGCCTCCTTGGCCGACATCTGGCGTCATGGGGTGGAATGCGTCTCCGGCTACACAGACATTGGTTTTGCTTATGTTCCCCCACAGAATATCCCATGGGGGTCGAAATCTCAGTGGTGACAGTATAAAGTTATCCGCTTCTGTTTTCTCGAAAACAGCTCTCACATTGTCGGGCATTTTTCCGAGCTTGCCAAGCACGAATTGCTTCATCTTGGCCGGACTCTCTTCCATCTCTTCATCTGCATGAAGGAAAGTGAGATTGTTTGCTCGTAGATAATATGAAAAGCAGAGTAAAATAGTTTAATAGTTGACAAAAGCCAACTCATATCGAATGAAGTACAAATACTCACTCTTGCTGGAAGAAGAAAAAGTGAAGAACCAATAAATAGACTTGTCATCACAAGGGATGACACCGGATCTAACTCCTTCACCAATGTACTGGGAGAATTTAGGCTCGAAACTGTGACCGTGCTCGTAATACACACAGCCCCTAATGGCAGATCGGCCAACAAAAGCAGGCTTCTTGAAGCCTAACCATTTTGCCACTGCTGAGTTCACTCCATCACACCCAATTAACACCTAGCATTTTCACACACAGCATAAGCATAAAGATAAGTTAAACCGTAGAAATCTTGTTCAGACAAGCAAGCAAATTTTGCATAGACAAAGGAGCTTCTCTTGAGCATAAATATCTCTCTGTCACTCTAAGCAGATTTCCTAATTAATGGTTATTATGATGCAATACCTTCGCCTTGAGAATTGACCCATCAGAAAGATGGACAAGCTTAAGGTAGCCCGATTCCTCGATCGACACAACCTTGGACGAATACCTTATAGTGCTGCTGGGAAGTTCATTTGCAAGAGTTTCCAACAAGGTTCTCCTCTGCACGCAACGAATTTCATGGCCTCGTCTGCAATAGATGCACAAAGTAAAAAAGACATGCCATGAGGAATGGATCTGGTTTATTTGAATGGCCAATTTCGCGTGCAATTTTAAGTCACATGGATTTCCATGAATTTGAAAGACTTAACTGTGTGTCTGTGGCATCAAGTTGCCTCTCAGCAGTACAAAGTCCAGAAATTGTGGAAATGATCTGCATCCTGAACCAGAACCTCTCAAATTTCAATTCAAATCTGGCACAGAGTCATGAGAATAAGAACTAGCTATTGAATTAATATCATGGCAAATATCTTTTTCATCTAAAGTCGATGGATCTATATTGCATATCAGATGTCATGTAAAGGTGCTCACTCAATTCTAGCGTGGGTACTCAGCAATATTAGGATGTGTCTAATCCCTCTCTTATTGCATTCCTTCTTTAAAACCCAAACAAAAGGCAAACTCTCTAGATGAAAACATCACCATCCACAGATACTCAAACTTCTGGGAACATGACGCTTGGAAATTATTCTTGTCGATAACAAGCTCAAATTATAACAGACAGTCAGTATAAGCCATTTCATGATCATGTGAGAATGTTTCTCCACGATCATTCCAAATTAAAATGACGTGTCCGCCCTATACCCTTGATGCAGGCCCAGCCGTGTGAAAAACAGTAGGTGGTCAAGTAACCCGGTAGGCCAAGCCAATCCTCAAGAGCTCATGTCTTCGTTCGTGGGTTCAATGTTATGTCACACTATACATTCAAATTGCATTTTGGGATTTATCAAATCACAGTAATCCTAAGAATAAGAAATATATTCATCTTAGCCACAGCAAGAGAAGAGGATTTCATCAGTCACCCAAAAAGTTGGTTGTGCAGTGGACGGAGTGGTTCGCCGATCCCGACCGCGTCCAAGGCCCGCCAAGCATTTGTCCATGTTGCCAAGGCGAACCCCGTGGTTCTCAGCCCATCAGACGACTCCAGAACCAAGCTTCTAATGCCAAGCCTGCAACACACCACAGATCATCGACACTCACTTGTATATCAGAAACATGCGAACAAACATGAGGAGGGTGAGAATGAGAGAGAGCAGAACAAGAAACTTTTAGAGAACAACTCTTTCAAGTTCTAACTGCTCCAATTCCAGTACAATAACCTGTGAAGTCCTAAAGCCGTAGTGAGGCCTGCTATGCCAGCACCGACAATCACTATGTCTTCAACTGATTCCATAAATCAACAGCTTGATGTCTCTCTCTCTCTCTCTCTCTCTCTCTCTCGGGTGAGGTCTTTTAT